ACATGGCAGCGTTTTCAAAGACACCTGATTGGGTGACGGGCAAATGCAATACTGAAGGTATCGATCTTGATGTACCCCGCCGAGGGCTGTGCTGTGCTGCGCCGTGCTGAATTGCGATGTGCCATGGCGCGATGTGCTCTATAGCCTCGTGGATCGAGTCCTCCTTTGCATCCGAGTCCTGACCGAACTGATCTGGATCTTAAGCTCGAGCTGCCTGAACACATAGTAGCTGCCCCAGAGCTAATGGACAGGGGAACATGCCAGGAGGACGCGCCGCGAAACGTCCCAAGGGATGCGCCAGGCGACGTGCCAGGGGACGTGCCATGGGGTCGCACCGCGGGACGTGCCAAGGGGACGCGCTACGGAACGTGCCAATGGATGTGCCACGGGATGTGCCAGGGGACGCGCCACGCGACGTGCCAGGGGGACTCGCCAAAGGACGCCCCACGGAACGTGCCAAGGAACGTGCCAAGTTGCAATGCTGAGTGTATCGACCTTGATGTACCGTGCCGAAATCAGTGCTGTGCTGCGCCGTGCTGAATTGCGATGTGCCATGGCGCGATTGTGCTCATAGCGTCGTGGATCGAGTCCTCCTTTGCATCCGAGTCCTGACCGAACTGATCTGGATCTTAAGCTCGAGCTGCCTGAACACATAGCAGCTGCCCCAGAGCTAATGGACAGGGGAACATGCCAGGAGGACGCGCCGCGAAACGTCCCAAGGGACGCGCCAAGCGACGTGCCAAGGGACGTGATATGGGGACGCACCGCGGGAGGTGCCAAGGGGACGCGCTACGGAACGTGCTGGGGACAAGCGTTTCGCTCGAGACATCCTGTCAAAATAATCTGAATTCCTACGCGCGGGACGCTGCAGGCGCGAGACATCCTCGGAATTCCTGCGAGCGGGACGTGAAAACAAGCATTTCGCCTGAGACATCCTTTGAATTCTGGCCCCCCACGAGGCCAACGCTCGAGACATCCTCCAATTTTGCAAAACCAGCATTTCGCTCGAGACATCCTCAACAAATTATGCGCTCGAGACATTCTGTCAAAATCCCGAGAAATCCAAATACCCGCGCGCGGGACGCGGCACGCGCGAGACATCCTTGGAATTCCTGCGCGAGGGGCGCTTTTCCGTGTCGCGGTCGGCTCTGCAAAACCAGCGTGTCGCTCGAGACATCCTCAACAAATTCTGAAACCAAGCGTTTCGCTCGAGACATCCCCAACTCTGCAAAACCAACGTTTCGCTCGAGACATCCTCAACAAATTCTGAAAAACTAGCGTTTCGCTCGAGACACCCTCAATGTTTAATTCGCCGGCCCTACTCCCGCACGTAATTCATCGCAGAATAATTTCGCCGGCCCTACAGCCGTCAGACCCGGGGGTAAACCTCTAAAAGAAAACCCTGGGCTCGAGCCCTTTCCGGGAAAAACTGACGTTTCGCTCGAGACATCCTCAATGTTTAATTCGCCGGCCCTACTCCCGCACGTAATTGATCGCAGAATCATTTCGCCGGCCCATCAGCCGTCAGATCCGGGGGTAAACCTCTAAAAGAGAACCCTGGGCTCGAGCCCTTTCCAGGGGGAAAACATGATGGACCCACGAACCCGGAAAGGGATAAAGACATGTGCAGCATGGTCACGTTTTCACGATACCCAACTGGGCGACATCTCACGAAACATCCCACGAGACACCCCGCGAAACATCCCACGAGACACCTCACGAAACATTCCACGAGACACCTCACGAAACATTCCACGAGACACCCCGAAACATTCCACGAGACACCCCACGAACAGGCAACCACTCATTGAAACCCCACGAGGACCCCACGAACGTGCTGGGGTGTGGTCGTGCGTGCGTGCTGGGGGGGTCGTGCTCGTGGTCGTGCTGGGCGTGGTCGTGCCACCCCGCGAAACATCCCACGAGACACCTCACGAAACATTCCACGAGACACCTCACGAAACATTCCACGAGACACCCACGAAACATTCCACGAGACACCCCACGAACAGGCAACCACTCAACCAGACACGCCACGAAACATTCCACGGGGGTGCGACTGGGTGTGGTCGTGCTGGGGTGTGGTCGTGCTGGGGTGTGGTCGTGCTGGGGAGTGGTCGTGCTGGGGTGTGGTCGTGCTGGGGGGTGGTCGTGCTGGGGGGGTGGTCGTGCTGGGGGGTGGTCGTGCTGGGGGGGTGGTCGTGCTGGGGCGTGTCGTGCCACCCCGCGAAACATCCCACGAGACACCTCACGAAACATTCCTCGAGACACCTCACGAAACATTCCACGAGACACCCTGAAACATTCCACGAGACACCCCACGAACAGGCAACCACTCAACCAGACACGCCACGAAACATTCCACGGGGGTGCGACTGGGTGTGGTCGTGCTGGGGTGTGGTCGTGCTGGGGTGTGGTCGTGCTGGGGTGGTCGTGCTGGGGGGTGGTCGTGCTGGGGTGTGGTCGTGCTGGGGGGTGGTCGTGCTGGGGCGTGGTCGTGCGTGGGGGCGTGGTCGTGCTGGGGGTGGTCGTGCTGGGGCGTGGTCGTGCTGGGGGGGTGTGTGTCGTGCTGGGGTGTGGTCGTTGCTGGGGTGTGGTCTTGCTGGGTCGTGCTGGGGTAGGGTCGTGCGGGGTCGGGTCGGTCGTGCTGGGGTATGGTCGTGCTGGGGTGGGGTCGTGCTGGGGTGGGGTCGTGCTGGGGTCTGGTAGTGCTGGGGTGTGGTCGTGCTGGGGTATGGTCGTGCTAGGGTGGGGTCGTGCATTTCGCTCGAGACATCCTGCCAAAATTCCAGGAAATCGTACAAAAACAAAGGAATTAGTCGAGACATCATCGAAATTCCTTCGCGCGGGGCGCTTTTCCGCGTCGCGGTCGGCTCTGCAAAACAAGCGTTTCGCTCGAGACATCCTCGGCAAACTCTGCGGAGCAAGCGTTTCGCTCGAGACATCCTCAACACACGAAAAAGTGGCCCGCACCCTGTGATTTATCGATCGGGATTTCAAAAACAAGCGTTTCGCTCGAGACATCCTCAAATTTTAATTCGCCGGCCTCCTTCGACCTCGTTATTTATCAGGGAAAAAATTCGCCGGCCTCCCTCAAGTTGGCACCGGGGGACAGGTTTACCTACTAAAAGAGAACCCTGGGCCGGAGCCCTTTCCGGGAAAAAAAGAAGAAGAGAGAAAACGCCGATGTACAATATAAACAGGGCCAGATCCACACACACACACATAACAAAACAAGACAATAGACACAAATCCCAAAATTCCTTATGTTTTCCATACGTTCTGGAGGTTCGCATTCCCAATCCACTTCCCGGATGACCGCCTACCAAGCCACCCCAACCCAACCCGAAGACCCACATTTCGGATTTGGGGGAATACGAGTTTCACGTGTTTTTGGTTCAGTGCTCCCTGACGCCCCTCCCCACTGGGAATGAAGGGCAAATTGGGGCCTTCGGGTTGGGTTGGGGTGGTTTGATGTGTGGTGATCCGATTTCCATGTGAGTCAGCAAGAGAGAACGCTTACGATCAAGAGGCCCAGGGACCACACATATCGCAAGATTTATTTCATGTATTTTCAATAGCTGTTGGATTTTCGTCTTCCCTTGCACTTCCCATACTCCCGTGTGAATCAACAAGTCTGTGTCCCTGCTCCCGGCCCGCGCCATCATAGATTAGGGATCTGTTGGTCGTAGTCTCTTCCTCCTCCGCCACCTTCTCCTCCTCCACTGCCCTCCCAGACTTGCTCGCGACCCGACAAAGTTACGACGGGAGGCTCTTGGCTCTTGGCCGCCTTAAGCTTCGGGGGGGGCCCGCGCTGGCTCGGGACGCGGCAGGGGGAAGTCGGAACTTCTCGGGACCGCGCATAGAAAAATACATAGGGGTGCACACGCGAACCCTACCCCTGCCCCCCGCCCCCCCCCCGATTTCTGAGGGGGAGGGTGGGACTCTCTTCGTTCGGGGGGGGTTGGGGTACTCTGCATCGCTTAATAATCGCCCCCCCTTGGCGTGCCCGGGGGAGTTGGCCGCGGCGCGTCCGCGGGGGTGCCAGGGTGGTCTGGGGCTCGTTCCCTCCCCCTCTGGGGCGCGGGGGTGGTGCCGCGTGGGGGGTTGGCCGCGCCGCGTTGTCACGTGTGTCCCCTGGTTGATAAATAAGAAGTTCGGGGTAGGGCTCGCATGTGGCCCCCTAGCCAAGGCACCCCACGCCTGGGCTGGCGCGTGGAGGCCCGGCCCACGCATCGGAGCCCACCCACGGCAAAACACGGCGCCGGTGCCACCGGCTCCGGCGGCGGAGCACGCCGAAAATCTGCAGGGAAGCGGGGCCCACCGGTGATCCCCCCACGCGCCCTCCATGTTTGCGAGTCCGACATGGACCAAGCCAGGACATCGGACAAATCGGACCAGGATTTTGTCGGGCCTGTCCCCCTACGGAGGGATTTTCGACGAAAAATGAAATACCTCCAAAATACCCCGAAGGGTCAACAAATACTCAAAAAATAGTCCCCAGACAATTTTTGGACTATTGTTCGACTATTTTTAGGGTATTTTTTATTCTTCGTCGAAAATCCACCTGTAGGGGGACAAGCCCGACCTAAGACCAGGATAAAGCGGAGAACTCTGAGATCTCTGAGGTCGCCGGCAACTCTGGAGGATGCGACCGGTCGATGCTCCTGGCAACGGGGAGGGTGGCATGGCTCCACCAGCCCCCAGTCTTAGGTCGGGCCTGTCCCACTGCAGGCGGATTCTGGACGAAAGATAAAACATATCCAAAAGATGCCCCCAACTATTCGAATCATAATCAAAAACGTCCTCGTACTATTTTGTAAACCTATTGTTGAAGATTCCCCTGTAGAACGACGTGCCCGACTCAACGGCAATCCCCACGCTCTGGAGGATGCCCGATCCGTCGATGCTCTTGGCCACGGGGAGGGCGGTATGGCTCCACCACGCCCTGGTCACTCCCCCCCCCCGTCTGCGTGCTCTGTCACTGGGCGGGCGAGCGCCTGCCCCAGGAAGCTGGCGCCAGAGCCGCCGCTCTGGGCAGCCTCGTGGCCGCAGGAACGGTCGCGCCGGGGGGGAGGGCGGGGGGGAAGGGCGAGGGGGAGGGGGAGGAGAGGAGGAGGAGAGGAGGAGGAGGAGGAGGAGGAGGTGGAGGTGGAGGAGGAGGAGAAGGATGAGGAGGAGGAGGAGGGAGGAGAAGGATGAGGAGGAGGAGGAGGAGGAGGAGGAGGAGAAGGAGGAGGAGGAGCAGGGGGAGGGAGGAGGAGGTGGAGGAGGAGGAGGTGGGGAGGTGGTGGAGGAGGAGGAGAGGAGGAGGTGGGAGGAGGGAGGAGGAGGAGGAGGAGGTGGAGGAGGAGGGAGGAGGGAGGAGAGGAGGAGGAAGAGGAGGAGGAGGAGGAGGAGGAGGAGGAGGAGAAGGAGGAGGATGGGGGAGGAGGAGGAAGAGGAGGAGGAGGAGGAGGAGGCATTGACCCACGCAGACCCCCCACTGCGCAGGGCATTGAGATTTCGCTTCGAGTGTCTCATATTGCCCAGTCAATGCGCACTGATGCGAGGAAGGGATTCAAAGGGAAAAATCGTGCGGAGAGACAACTCCTTGTTCACAAGCAGCTTGCTGCCAAGGGAGTTCATATAGCTGGGGTCCAGAAGGGGAGACATGCTCAGGGGGTGCGATGCAAGGGGGATTTTGTCAATTACTCGGCTGGGCACGACAGTTTCAACCGTGGGGCCGAGCTGTGGATCAACATCGTCGTCCCCTTCGCCAAGCAGGGAAACCCCCTTTCACTTTTAAAAGACAGCAGGTTCAGATTCTTCACCAAGAGCCTCGCATCATGATTGCTAAGTTGTCAGCGCAGGGCGTTACCCTTGTCACCCTAGTGGCCCACGCCCCCCACGCCAAAACGTCAATAGTTCATAGGTTGGAGTTCTGGGGGCAGTTATCGTCAGTCACGTCTCGTTGGCCACCAGATGTTGGACTCCTGGATGCCAATGGCAGAAAAGGCAGTCACACTTCCCCCGCTGTTGCGAGCGTAGGTCCTGCGACGACGGAGGACAGCAACGGTGAACAGTTGCACCAATGGGTGCTGGAAGCTCATCTCCTTGCTAGCAACGCGTTTAGAGTTTGACGAGATAAGAACACAAACTTCTCCAAGAAAGGGGACCCCCAAAGGATTGATTACGTGATAGCCTCTACCCAGTTGCGCCCCCACCTCCAGGACACTGAGGTCATCCACCACTTTGAGCATGTTAGGGAACATGATGACCATCATCCCGTGTTTGCTTCGTTCGCGTGGTATCGCAGTTGGCATTAGATGGGGAACGTGCTCCTACAGTCGATCGCCACAAAAGCAACGACCCCACTGCTAGAGAGCTGTTCGCCCTTTGCCTGGATATTGCTCCCCTTCCCCCTTGGGATTGTAACCTGCACGTCCATTGCGAGCAAGTCGCGCGGGCCTTCCAAAAGGCCTCTTGAGACGCCTCCGGTAAGCAGCGGATCCGGCCCAGAAACAAGACCCCCCCCCGCCCATGTGTACCTTGATTCGAGTTAGACGAGCCATCCGGAAGGTCCTGCATCCTTCGAGAAAAGGAGTGCACCAACCTGCCATGGACACGCCAGGCATCCAGTCGAACAAGAGCAGAGAGACCCGCGTGGGGATGGCTGACCCTGCTGTCGGTCGCCTTGTTTTATCTGGCTGTCAACGCTTCCTAAGGCAATTTGAACGATGAGATCAGGCTCTCTGAATTGACGGCCCCCAATATCCCTGCCTGTTTTCCGCTGTCCCACGTTTGGGGATCCATCGCCAGGGGCTCGAGGGATTCCATGTATCACAACATCGATGCCCATGAATTTAGATTGAGCCTGTTTGCGTTCATCGCGATGGACCGGGACGCGGACTCTGCTGCCTTCCTTCTCGCGCGCGAGCAGTCCGCCCGACGTGCGCTGGATGGGCGCGCCCCTCAGCGCGAATGGGCGCGCGTGGAGATCCGTCTTGCTTTCAGAGGGCGCCGCCATGCTTCCCCGACGAGATCGGCCACGAGGAGAGACCCCCCCCCCCCCAATGATATATTATTGAAGAAACCGCGCAGGAAGCGGACGATATGCAAGCTCATGTTGCCCATGGAAGGGGGGGGGGGGGGCGGGGGGGCGTTTGCCGTGGGGGGGTCGCTGAGCATGTGAACCACCGCTAGGCGATTCCTGAGCAGATCGAGCGCGGCATTATGGCTGTGTCAACCACGCGTGGAATCGACGAGTTGACCAGGTCCACTAGGAACGGGAAGGCCCCAGGGCCCGTTTTGATTACTAACGGTGCGATGAAAGCGGCCCCAGAGGCGGCTGTTCGCCACGCCCACCCTCTCTTGGTTAAAATCAATTTGGTTGGTCCCAAGCCGTGCGCGCTCAAGAAGTGGTCGGGCTGTCTCGTTCTACAGAGGGGAATGGGGGCGTGATCACGGCGCCCTTCTATAAGGGGCATTTCACTGTCCAGCGCGACCCAAGGTTCATCGCAAACATCTTGGGACCCGATCTAAAGAACTCCTCATTGCGACCCTCCTCAATGGGCAATGTGGCGTGTGTGCGCGTGCGTGCGCGCGTGTGTGTGTGTGTGTGTGTGCGTGTGCGTGTGCGTGTGCGTGTGCGTGTGCGTGTGCGTGTGCGTGTGCGTCGTGCGGCGTGCGTTGCGTGCGTGTGGTGCGTGCGTGCGTGCGTGCGTGCGTGCGTGTGCGTGCGTGCGTGCGTGCGTGCGTGCGTGCGTGTGTGTGTGTGTGTGTTGTGTGTGTGTGTGTGTGTTTGTGGTGTGTGTGTGCGTGTGTGCGTGTGCGTGTGCGCGTGCGCGCGCGCGCGTGCGCGCGCGTGCGCGCGGTGGCGGTGGCGGGGGGGGGGGAGGGGGCAGGCGCTGGCGCGGACGTTGCGCGCATCTTCGTGCGAAGCAGATTGCGTCAGTTGGGCCGACAGAAGAAAAAACTGCCACTGCCCTTGTCGCTGGGCCTCGTCGCTGCAGTTTATTACGTAGCCCGTCAGGTTGTGACTTCTCCCCCCCTTGGGTTCGAGCCAATTTGAAGAGGCCGTCGCCGGCCTGCCGATCCCCGAGGCGTCCCATCGGAATGCGATAGCCCTTGCCGAACATCCGATAGTTGGCAGCGCCGCTGATGATGAGCAAAGGCTGCAGCTGTTCCGTGGCACCCAGGCGCGTTCGCGGTGGCAGCATCGGGGGGGGGTCCAAAGACGCTTCTCCCCTCTTTCGGATCGAAGCCAGGGGCAGCGTTTGCTTGCGACGTGCGCAGCATTGCCTCTGCCCCAACTATCACTGGGATGCAGATTGAAATGAAGACTCAACAGGTGATGTCTTCTTTCGATCCTAGTCAAGGCCCCTGTGCTCACTCTGATGATGTCACTCCTGTCAGTCCTTCCGTCTCCGCTGCTTATGTCGACGGCTCGACGACGAATGGAGATTGCGACGATGCTCTCCAGGCCGCATGGTTGCGGACCAGATTCTGGACCTCGTGCGTGAACGAGTGACCTCCCATGGCCTCCGCATGAACCCTGCCAGGACTATCCTCATGGTCAAAACTGCTGGGAAAAATGCCCGCGCGTTCGAGCGGGCGGCCCCTGGTGCCCTCCCAGGGGGGGGGGGGGGGAAGGGGGGGAAGTGGGTTTGTTTTGAAAGAAAAAAAAACAAAAACACGGGGCGAGGGTCCAAATCGTTCGGCAGTGCAAACTTCCCCGCACCATCGTGAATGATAAGTTGCCTGTGAACGGAAAGACCCAGCGTCGGGTTGCCAGCGCGAGAAATGAACTGAAGCCCCGTCGACCAGCCATTCGCCCCCGTCGTGCTTCCCTCCCTCCCTTCGAAGATCCGTTGCGCGGGGGTCTTGCGGCCTCCAAACTGCAGTGCAAAATATGTGTCTGGGAAAGTTTGAATGCGACGCAGTCGAGGAGAACGCGCGCGGCCCAGGCGGACGTTTATCGCGCGGCCCTCGCCAAACCGAAACATAGAGAGGGCGCGCGTTATCCTGGCAAGGGGATTCTGTATCTTGACCAGCGCTTGCCTTTCTCCGCTTTCCATTCCATTGATAGGCTGCGATGTCTCATCCGCCTGTTTCGCCGCGGCAGCCGCGCCCTCCTCCAAATCCTCAACCATGTTTGTTGGGGGAGCCAAGGTGGGTCGGATTGCGGGGTTAAGGGATGATGTGGAGTGGCGTCAGTCGCTTTCCATTACAAGCCCCAGGTCAGGGATCCTTCGGAGATTGGGCGGGATTCGCTCGCGGCGCTCTCAAGAAGTTTGCTCTTCACATCAAGCGTTGTGCCCATCGCCCGCTTGCAAGGTCCCTCCAGCTTTATGAATGTGCCCAGCACCGCGAACAGATGCGCAGCATGTTCCGAGGCCGTGCTCTTGACTTTGAGGCGCCTCAGCCTCAAAGCGCTGAAGATATCAGCAGAGAGAGGGAGAGAGAGAGAGAGAGAGAGAGAGAGAGAGAGAGCTACCATTTGGCGTGTTCTGAGTGTGGATTGTTTTGTGCCGCTGCGGCGGCTCTTCGAAACCACCACACGAAGAACCGTCGCAACGACAAACGCCCCGAAGGATGGGTCTCGGGATCCCTCTGCAAAGTGTACTTGGTTGAGTTTCATGATCGTGCCAGGTTCATGAAGCACTTGAAGCGATGCGTCTTGCTTGTAGGCGTGGTGGGACCGTGGAATTGCGCTGGTATGCACTGAGCAGGACATTGCAGAAAGTAAACACACTCAGCGTGCGAGTAGAGCCAAAAGCATCCAAGACAAGTTTGCCCACCGCCCTTCCCGCAAATTTGCGGTTGGTCTTCCTATTGCTTGCCGTATGCCGCGCGCCCGTGCACACGTCTCATATTGCCGTTGCTATAAGATGTTTTGTGTGTCAGCGCTGCCAGGACAAGTTGATGTGATTCGGTTAGTGAGTGAGGAGCACACTGAGGCCAAACTTTGGGCCAGGAGTATCATGGATGGTCGAGTTCTTGCGGTGGTCGGGGCCCCCTTTGAAGACTCTTGGGTTCCTGGGCGTTTTGAACCTGGATG